ATCCAAATGCGATGGTCGGCGTACAGTTCACCCGGAATAATACAATTATTTTGTTCGCTAATTGTCCCGGCGGCAGCGGTTCGGCGGATACGTTTCGATGGCTGGTAAAGGAAAAACTGACCGGGGGTGTAGGCGTACTGGGTTTTTATATTGTTAGGGCAGGGAGACAGGAGTAGAGATAGATAAAGATAGAAGTGGAGAAAGTGGTGGAAACGGAAAATTTGTAGAAAGCGGGGCCGTTCGTCCTCGTGCAAACCTGGATGCCACATGTGCGCTTCTTGGGCTACTCGAGGACGAAGGCAAGTCTTAACCCGGGGAGAGACAAAAGAACGGAAACTAAAATCTGAAGGAGTTAAAAAAGAGAAAGTTCGCGTGGAAGAATAGAACAAGGTTCGGTAAGGGCTTGTTGGCAGCGACGTACCCGACACACATTCATATCAGGAGATTGGAGATGTGTTTGCAAAAAATCGACTGAACTGCTAGGTGAACGATTTTAAGTGACAGTCACTGTAAATATCACTACGAAACGGCTGTTCAAATAACAGAACTTTCGGATAATAGGTTTGGATATTAGGGTACAGTAATGTCTCTACAAGTGTCAGTCAGTTTGGATTCTACAAGTGTCAGTATAGATGGTCCTACGCCTAGGTCTGCGTCATTGCTGCGCCTATGTTATCTCGCTCGCTGTCAGTCAAGCGTGTAACGCTACACCACTCGGTTTCTTTTACGAGATTTCACGGCTCGACAAATCATAATAGAAAAATATAATTTCTTTAATTTTACTTTTTTTCATCTGAAATTTTTTTTAACATGACACAGGGAGTCTGTTTTATCTCAATACAGTGAAATATCTTTTAAGGAAGTGATGTTAGAAAAAAAAAAATGTTTTAACAAAAGTTGTTTGGTACGAGCAGGAAAATTATGTGGTATAAATATCTTTTTGTACCTGGTATGGTGGGGGAGATTTCAAAGTCAGTTTAATTTTTTTAAATAGAATGCTATATTTTTTTATACATAATATGATAGTGTATGTTAAGACGAATCCAACGAGGTGCGAACAAAGTCATTTCCTTTGATAAAACAGACACACGCGACAGTGAGGCACGTATGGTGGTCCGGCTCCCGGTTTTTCGCAATTTTACGACCTCCCATGAAAAGAAATGATTATGTTCGCACCTTGTTGGACTTTTATCCAATTAAGGTTGCAGATACGGGAGGCTCTACTACATTTCATTACATGTATAATATTTACACGAAAACATAAATTTTAAAATATTATAAGGTGTACGACAATAAATCAATTAAAACTTTTTTATTTGTATTCAATGCGTAGCAGCATGAAATGGACTATATAGTTATTAAATATAATTATGTTATTGAAACCGGCAGTGTGCGTAGAGGATTGAGCCTTACAACTAGTGCAGGGAGTAAGAATGTTTGTTGCTCGACTTGCAGCTTCCTTACATTCAAGTAATTGTGGCAGTAATTTGTAACAAGTTTAACAGTATTTTTCATTTTGTCATTCAACGGACTGAACGGCTTAACACCACTTAAGTATTTCTTAACATTTACCATTTCACTGTTCAAAAATGATGACAAATCGCGGTTTTCTCTCAATTTCAAGAACAATCAGAAGTCCGATGGTGCCAAATCAGGTCTGTACGGACGGTATGCAACAACTATGAATTTTAGGTTCCTCGTTGTTTTCGTCGGCTTTTTCTGATTGCTGTCTATACACATATGTAATTCAGAAGTAGAATTCATGACTAACGTAGTCACACACGTTTGAATTAGACAGTATAAACCACTGAACGCAAGTTACATTTTGTTTTTTTCTCTACTACTAGTGACGCCACGCAGTAGGAGACCTTGCTTATATTAGATCTACCGGAACGTTCTGTCCGTTTTTGAATTAAAAGAAAATACATTTTCAGTACATTTATTAATATTTGACCTCTTCCCAGCGTGATGGTAATTTGTGGATTCCATTTCTGTAGAATGATTCATCTTTGGATCTTGAGATGACATTATCGGACAGAACTTTCCGGTAGACCTAATAATTATTGGAACGATACAGATTTTATACTTCACTCCTATTTTTAAAGGCAGATAGATATGTCTCTATAATACCAGCATAGGTGATTTTTTCTTTGAATAATACACACACTACTTTTATCACAAGTATACCTAGTTTAAACTCTAAACCTTTGTTATTGGATTATCACGCTGTGTCATACCTGCGGTCATCCAATTTGGTATTGCATTATCGGGTCAATATTATACTGGTTCAGTATTATCACGGACGACGTACAAGATAGATCTAACATCTTATAGGACTTCGTGTCCGTAGCATTGCGGCCAAGAAGGCCCTTACCATTTTCATGTCGCTCCTAACATTACCAATTCAACGTAGAATAAGATTACAACATTAGTAGTGGTTATAATTAGAACTAAATGTAACTATGAAATTACAAATAAGAAAGTAACGTAATTGTTTATTAGTAGATGATTCATTCTACTGCTGTCAAAATATCGTGAACAGTTCTACTCACTCAATCTAATATGTGTGTTAGGATGTGCTCGTGGTAGTTGCAAAACAACTTTCGAGCTTTGTCGATTTCGCACGTGGTGTGCCGACTAGATTTACTAAGGTTCGTTTTTCGAAGGACCACCTCCGTCTTAGGAGAACAAATTAATGCTGACTATTTTCTCTGAGGAACGACTCGTAGCGTGGTGAAATGAATTCTGTCTGTCTTCTCCGCGAAAGGTCCCACGACACCTCTGAGCGAGGACGCATCGCGGGGGTGAGGCCCTCGAATAGGCTGAAGACATTTTTCGATAGTGGTGGGGAAGGGTGGCTGTCAAAAACTATTGGTTAAAATCATAGGTGGGAAAACTATACGAAAATGTCACCCCCCAGACCATAGGTCACTCTCAGGTACCAAGCATACCCTTGAGTGACGCACGCGGGAATTCCGAGTGCCTCGAACAATGACCGTAGCAGACAAAAAATGTACAAATTAAAAAGGCGAAGATTCTAAGTCGAAAACAAGGCAATAAAAGGTGAAAGCAAGTTCTTAGATTGAAAGACTACGATTGCCGTGGTGTCATAAAATCACTGCTGCTACGAAACGAACGAAGGCGAAAAAATGTATACAATAGAACTACATGCTAAGAAAATCTAAGGGTCGAGGACTTAACAATATGTATGTAAATCTTGATATGCAAATTTAACAAAAGAGGATTTTTTACATCTGTCAGGGCTCTGTAGTGGGCATAATAAAACCTCTGATATTTTACACGATCGGTATTTCAGAACGTCGGACACAAAAATACATTAGGTGTCAGGTCTGTCCTATATCTCGTCTGCGGTATAATATCGTTCAGTATTGTATTATATTGATCTGTAGTGTATTCTCGTCGTTCTCTTCAACTACGTCTTTTTACAGTTATTGGTTTGTTTCATCTTCCTCTACTAATATCCGTGTGAAAACATACTGAATTCTGTATGAATATCGAGGCATGTTGCTTGCCATAACTGTAATCGTTTGTTCATTATGACAGACAATCTGAAATACAAAATGCCAAAAACTGGAGACCTTTCGATAGAGACGCGTGCAGTGATTTGTGTTCTCCACGGTGAATGACTTTCCATTGGTGTTATAGCCAAAAAATTCCAAATATCTAAAAGTACAGCGTAAAATATAATTCAGAAGAAGGAAGTTACTGGCAAGCTACAAAATCGCACGCGATCTGGACAAAGAATATGTACAAGCCAGTAGGATGACACCTTCATTAGACTTCAAAGTAAACGAAATAGGAGGCTTACCACACCAGAAAACATTAGAGATCTGAATATTTAGAAGAATAAGTCGTTGTCTGTATCAACGGTGAAATGGCATTTGAACGAAACTGGTCTTCTGGGTTGATTAGCGGTCAGAAAACCATATTTTCGTCCAGGTAACAAAACAAAACGATTGCTTTGGACGAAGAAACATCAACATTGGAGTGAAAAGGAATGTATTAAAGTTCTCTCGACAAATGAGCCAAAGTTTGAATTATTCGGCTCCAAAAGGTGTATGTTTGTTGCCACCAAACCACGGAAAAAATATTGGAAGTTTTAGTTTCAAAAGTCAAGTATAGCAGAGGTAGTGTTATGATGTGGGATTGTTTAGTCGAGGAAAAGCTGGAGACCTCATCGAAATAGACGGAACCATGGCAAAGGAGATGCACCGGCGTATATTAGAGGCACATGCTCTACCCTCAGGAAGAGATTGATCGGTGAACCATTTGTTTTTTTGAAAGACAACGATCTAAAATATAGCTCCAAGTTGTGTCGGTCATATCCAGAGCAACAGGAAGAAGAGAGCAATTTGAAAACGATGGTGTGGTTGTTCCAATCGCTAGAACAGGCGGATAAGATGGATAAGAAGGTAAAAGCTATGCTTCCCTCCAATGTGGAAGAATCTGCAGAAAAGACATGTGGAAAAATCTGTAGGGAGCATGGGCTGCAATATCTGCGGAAATGCTTATGAAATTACTTAATATACCAAGCAGTGATTAAGGCAAAGGGTGGGCACATCCATGAACGTCATTTGAACGCACATTGATAATTAATTTGTTAAATATGTAATATTGTGTTTATTTTAGTTTATAAAAACACTATTTGAAGCAACCGGTTTTAAAAACGATTTAATTTACCAGCTTGAATATCCTATTCTTCGAAATTATAAAAGCGTTCGATACTTATGAGCGCTAGTGTATATATTTTTCGAAACGTTTAAAGAAAATATATGTAGAAACTAGCTTGTTATTTCTTTAGTTTTGATATTTTGAATTAGTTAAATTACTCTTGCAATTAGTTAACTTCGTGAAAGAGGTGGCAGAAAAAGATTAGTTTGTTCGAGAGTGTTGTTCGATTTAAATGTTAATATAGTAAAATGTGTATGGAGTTCGGTTCGAGAGTAAAATTGTAAATGCATTTTATTTGTTATCTGCAGGCGGAGCACCAAATCGACCGCTTCCACCTACCCCTGACGAAGAGGAATTAGGGGATCGTACGCTAGTCATGAAACGGGTAAGTAAATTATCTAATAATCTAACTGTGCGTAATGCAAGTAAACGTAACGTTTTTTTAGCGCATCCTTATCGTTTTTATGTGCCATTTGAGATTTATCGACATGTATTAATAATGATACGAATCGATCGATCTTCGTATACCGATTGAATGTAATTTTTACTCCTTTGCCGTTTATTTGTATTTTCATAAAGTCGTCTATGTACTTTTTTTCCATTCTTGAGTACGCTTTAACATTATTCGGGTCGAATTTAATTACAAAGTGGAAGAGAGGAAGAAAATACAAACAACTGCGTTGTATTTCCGTTTCCTTACATATATATTTTATGTATGTAGGGTCAGCTCATCAATTACTGGCATCTATATATGTATATATTTGTTGTTGTATGCCCATTGATAGTCGAGAATAAGTCAGACATATTCATCCATCCGTATTTGAATTATTCTTGCGCAGTTCCAGTACACTATAGTGCGTTGCGTGTACATTTGCTGTTATCGTACAATACGTTACTGTGCAGTTGTATACAATTGAGTATGTGTTGCCTTGCCATATGTTGTACTATCGCGCGGTGGTGAAAGTTAAACGAAACGTGAAAAGAAAATAAATATAAAAGGAGGAAAAGCTATGGACAGTATTGAAAACTGATCGATGATGCCCAAATACAATGTGTACGTTCAGTCGTATATCGCGGAACGATCATGGTATTCTAATATTTGACAATTTCCCCTAGTAGTTGGTTAGATAAAGAATATGCATTGTTTTATATCATTTTCGTTTAAGCATAAAGCACATAGACGTTATTATTTATTTTCTTGCTTCGTGTGGAACGTGTCACCACCACGTTAGAAAGATAATTTTATTGCTCACTCGATCACTTGATCACTTGATCGCTTGATCCCATTGCACTGCCATCACAGCTGGCTCGCGTTATGTAACGCCGCACGCAAATTTTTTTCTTCCTTTCGTGTGAGTGTCTTTCTTTTGTCACTATGTTTATTGCCCTCGTGCGCGCTCTCTAGAAACTTAGTCAGATGTCAGACGATCGCGGCACGGCTAGCAGCAACCGGCGCTCCGAAGCGGAGGAGCAACTACTACTGAAGGAGTGGGATTTTACCCGCTTCTTCCACGGTTTTAACGAAAGGTTGGATAAAATGAAACAGGAGACAACGCATTCGCAAGAGACAACAGAGACGAACAAGTCTGGTAACGAGGATCATCTTTCTTCGTCGTCCACGGAGAGAACGTTAAAAAGACAGGAACAATTATCGTCGCGTAAAAAGCAGGAGAATCATTCGCAGCAACAACAGCATCATCAAAAGCAACAACAGTTGAAAGCGGTGCACAGACGGCAGGAAAGCGATTCGAAGCTTGGCAACACGACCAGCGCTTTTGCACGTGCTTTTCGCCGCGAGAATTCCGATTTTTTCCCTTCCGCGAGACACTCTGCATATTTACAGAAGTCAGACTCCTCGAGATCGAGCATATTTTCAAGCGGTAATCGGCGCGGAAGTGAGATAAGCGTCGCCGGTATCGCTGGCAAAAAGGGGAATATTGTCAGTACCGGTGAGCCGGTTCTTACAGACTTTTCTTTCGGTCGTGACGGTCTTCAGAGGCCTAGAAGAGAAAAGACCGAGAGCGAAATCGTTTTTGGTAATAGACACGGGGCCAGAAGGTTCGACTTTGGACGCGATAAAGATGACACTACGAGAAGACGCAGTTGTAGACCATCAGACGTGGTTTCTGCCGCAGTTGACGAAGCAGGAACTATTAAATCTACGGCCAGTACAACGGCTAGCGAGTACAGCCCCATTGTCACCCAGGTCAGTCCCCCCTATGAATCCTGCCTGCGTGCTTGCCTGAAAGATATACCTACTGCATTACCTTTATCTCTACCTTCGATTTCTCTACCATCGCGTGAATTTCAACATTCTGATTTTCATAAATGTCCCTCTTTCCAGATATCTGTCGATATGCCGATCTCTTCTTACCAATCATTCACTTCATCTCTTACTTATGTGTTCATCTACTTCGTGTCAAAGTAACAACTTTAATTCGAACTAAATTCAATTGCATTATTTTCAACAATCTCTCATTTATGTCCTTTCGCCCTGTAATGTAAATTATTTCTTTGATCGGTAGATTTTTAGAGAAATAATTTCAGGAATAGTTCAATATTAATGTAGACTATTCGTTTGAATTATTATCGACTCTCGTCAGAGTTAATCGCGTATTCTTTTATAATGTGTTATTATTTGATAAGGAAATATCGACAGACATATTTTATCACGAAACCTTTACATCCATTTTTCCAATATCTAACGGCATACGGAAATCAACATAGAAAGCTAGTCAGCTACGCTCGAATTTTAGGCGCATTTCCCTATTACCTTCCTTGTCTTTATTATTTTTTCAGATTTAAGGACATGAGTAGGATACATAATTATTAGCGCTATCAGTATTCTATTACCAGTACTACTATTACCTCTTCTACTATTTTACTAGATCTTTCAATCGGACAAAGTCATACAAAGCTTTATAGAGGAACGTTAGATATATTAATAATATATACTACCTTGATATAAGGGAATCAACGACATATTGTTTTACATTACTAATAGTATACGCTATTATTGTTGTAATTTATCAGAGGGAATATTTTCATATTATTAACAAGTACTTCTTTTCCTCGCTTTTCGTTCTCTTTCTGGTGCACAGAAATTTTGTTCATGTTGCGACGTTTGTTGAGTAGTGTTAAAACGACGTGTCAATAATCTTCAGAGTTTCTTAATCAAATTCATTTTATACCATTTACCACTTCTTTTAGAAGGTGTGATGCCTAACCCTTTGCTATTTTATTTGCGCCTCATTGGTGGTTAATTTCAATTTTTCTCTAGATATAAAGTCAGCATGTTTGCATTCAGCAAACTCATTTTCCGACATTTCAGAATCGGTAATAATGCGATAGCTTCAATTTACTTTCTCCAATTCTCATTATCGCATATAATCGGATGTTTGTAAAAAGTTGAAAGTTTGCTTATAAGTAACAAATTTACAGATTTATTATACTGCAGAGATACGTATACACAGAGTGGTCCTGAAAATGATGGTCTCCTTAAGGGCTATGCTTAGATAGGTAATACGAAATGAAAAACGTTCAAATGTGATATTAAAAACGTATGTTTACTATGATACTTAATAAGTGATGGCAGGCAAAATTTAGCAGTACTGTTTCATAGTTTATTATGCAGTAATATCGAAATGTCTTTTTTACGTTCTACTGAATGATACATACTATATCAAATATACTAGGTGTCACAAATTGATGACAAATACAAAAGGGGGCGAGTCTACATAAAAAGATACGGTGATAACATAATTAGATTGTATTACATATAAAGGTTTGTTTCCGAGTAAATTGACGTGAAAAATTCAACTATTATGCACGCACTAATGTAACTCAATCTAACGAAAATTGGTACAAACTACTTGTACTGTTCTTCCCATCTATTATGCAGTATGTCCGGTTTAAGTGTATACACGCGATTATTTGACTTCACGATCACCTTCGAGAATCTTGCGAACGTTACGTTTTAATTTTTAAATGGAATCTTTATTTTTATTACATATTCTTGTAGTTGGTATCGAACTATTTTCAAAACACAACCTGCATATGTATTTTGCGTAAGCCATTGTTGAGTTATTAAGCTTCAAATTTGGCGTGCCCTCTGCATTATCGTTATCCGATGTTCACCGTGGGGAGGTAACTCGGTCGGACTTTGTGTGCTACTAGACGAAAAACAATTGGATTGAGCCACATCGATACTGTAACACATCTTTGAGCTCTTCCTACAAAGATTACAAAAATGAATTTTTAATAATGCAGGACATGTAGAAAAACAAAACATGTACCTTAAAATGGAAGCGAAAAACACACACACACACACACACACACAGAAAATCGGTTCTTTCTAGAGCGGTGTATATCGGGTAACGCTAATACCAGCGGCACGCCAAATGCAGGTAGTATTTTGAAAACAGTTCGATATCAGCTACAAGAATATGTAATGAAAAATATAGGTGTCCATTTAAAAATTTAAACGTGACCTTCACAGGGCTCTCCAAGGTCACCGCGAAGTCAAATAATTATCATTACGATGTGTTCCCCTTAACACCATACAACATTAGTCCGAAACATTTTTTTGTATTCTTAATATTTAGGGAAATAATCGAACATACTGTACGTATTTTTTTTTTTGCTTCAAAAAATGTTTTTTTATTAATGTTTGGAAATTATTTTTGGAAAATACGTTGGAAATAATTTCTAATCTTCCTTTAATGTTATTGCGGATTATATAATACTTTTATTAAATGTATCATACTTTTATGAATATATGAATTTAAACATTGATTTACTTGGAACTGGAACTCCATGTAAGAAAATGTTATACAGGGTTAAGCTCGCATTCGAGCATCTAAAATATCTGTGTTCCTTTTGATGATACAAAAAAATATTGGAAAATGAAATTATATTGTTCAAAGAGACAAATGTTGCTGTGAAGTAATAATATTTTTGTATGTCATATTTTTCGAGATTTCACGCTTATTGTCATTTTTTTGAAAGGGTTTATATACTTTCATTACCATACTGTTAAAGCTGACAAAAAAGTGAGTTCAACCATATGTATCGCATTGACCTTCAAATGATAAAAATATTTTTACAACACCAGAAATACACGAGACAGAATTTGGCTTGCATGTACTGACGTCGTTCCAAAACTTATCGAAAGTGCGAAATCATTCATTTGTCATATTTAAAAATATATAGAAGTTAACAGTGATCTTTTTACACATCATCTGAAATAAGTAGCTACAAATTTGCACTTATGGGGGTCATACGGTTTCAAAGAATCGCTTTCTTTGGGAAGTTTTTTGTAGGTAATTACTAAGTGAAAAGTTTCAATTTTTTTAGCGGACAAATGTGTAACTTCCGTCTTCATTTTCCAATTTTTTTTAAATAAAAAGTGCTACAAAATGGCGGAATTATTTGCTAACTCTGAAGTCGTGTATGTTGGAACATTGATAGTAGGCCGCCATCGTCACCAAGGACTAGAATGCCCAAATTAAAAAATTTGTGTTTATTTATAAATAAGAATGTATTATCTACAATGTAGCATAGGATTTTTAAAAAATTTTAATAATTACAGAAATGGCGACCCTTTGAAGAGGAAAAATCTCTTTCTACTAAAACATATCAACTTTAAGCGATTCTGAAAAATTAAATAAGTGAGATATCGAAAAAATCCTACGCTACGTTGTAGAATACTTTATGGAGAATATTCCCTCAAAATTTGAACGAAATCGAACGGTGTAGTTCCGGAAATTTTGTGTCGGCCAGTTCAAAAAACATAGTTTCGAGAAAAAGGTAACAGAAGCTTTAAGATAAAATTCTTTTCTGATAAAGAGAGATTTATTATATTTTATCTTTAATCTGCTATTCCAAGTCCATATAGCAATACTTCCGTATCAGAGAAACTGATGACAATCTCCTTCTTTGCTTTTTTGAGTAATTTTCATGCTATTCTACTCTACTCTTCCGCCTTTTCTTCAGAGTTTCTTATTCGTTGTTCGTCCATTATTTTACGAAAGTTGTAACTATTTATTTCTAAAATTTAATGCATCATTTTTAAAATATTATGATTTCCCTCGTTAAAATTCTAGCAACTATAAATGTTGCAATATCGTCAATTCATTTATCAACTTATCACATGTGACAAGAAAACCTTAAATTACATATTTGTAAGCAACAAAATATTGCTCTAATACAATATCTCTATTTCATCTGATCTGTGAGGCCTCCCGCATGATACAATCCGTTCCTGTATCTATTGTCATAATTTCGTCAAAAACTCGAATTTTGAAATATCGCTTTGGCAAGATATTCTACACACTTGAAACGTTAAAAATGTTCAAAAAAATCGATTTTTTGAAACCGTCTGACCCTTGTGCCCTTTAAATATGTAAATTTTATATAGTTCCGTTCTTCCCATAAAAACATTTTTTGTCATTTCAAGGTCGTGCATAGGTTAACTTGACACACATAGTTGAACTCGTTTTTTTTATCAACTTTAACAATATGGCAACGAAAACATATAATTCCATTTACGAAAATGACAATAAGCTTGAAGTTTCGAAAAATATGAGCTAGAAAACATTTGCCCCTTTGAACAGAATAATTTAAAGGAACCAAGATATTTCAGACGCTCAGGTTAGAGGAAACACCCTGTACTTTAACGACTTATTTTCTTCGCACAGAATGTTTGAATCGTTCTTCAAGTTACGCTACTAATTTGGTGACATCATGTATCAAATTTGCTTTGCTACACTAACGAAATGCGTTGAAGTAATTCTCTTGCATAAGAATTATAATACGCAAACATAGGTAAAACCGAAGATTTGGAAGTTTTGCAAAGTTTTATGTTACTTTATGGTATAAATACATGCGAGAAACCCTGACTAAGATTACACAGCCTATTTGAATCTTGATGAATTTTTCTACAAAGTCAAACAGTCTACAAGAATTTTTCTTTCCTTAATTTTATCTCCGTAAAATGTAATTATTTAATCTCTGCACTTAAAAGGACCATTTTTATTCTCGGACTCCTTCTTGTATTTATCACTTGATGCTACTGTGTATATCGTTGATGTAAATATAGATATATTTCTTACATATCTACTGATTCGTTAAAAAAAGTTCATACATCTAATGAAAGTTTGGTGTGTAAATAATTTGATACATACAACTTGCAAGCATTATAAATGT